AATATAATAACATCCTTACACACAGGTTAATATGCCAAATTTTGTTTTTTAATCTCTTTCCCATTCTGATATATATTGAGATAAAAACAAAATAGACATATAGACATAGCCTACACAGACACATAAATACATATCCAAGAAAATATTTATCCGTTTTTTCAAGTTCAAGAGTCTGAAAACATTGAGATTTGCGAAAATCATGGAGGGTCAAATTTTACTCGAGTGCAATACTTTTCCGTGTTACATACGCAACAGCCGCGGTAAGTAACGATCCAACATTATTAAGTTATTATTTAAAACTGTGGTTCTTAACTTGTAATCCATGGACCACTGGTGGTCCCTGAAAGCACCCGAAGTGGTCCGTGAAGTTATCCCAAAATTATTAAATAAATGATGACGAGTTGATGACAATGCGCGGTATGTCAAGGTTAGAGCCGCTAGCGGACTGGGCTGGGGCATGGTGTGTGGTCAGAAAATATGAAACTGGAAGTCACTAGCAATAAATTTGCATTTGAAGATAAAATCAGTGCGTTTATCGCTAAAATCGACCTATGGATCAGCAAAGTCGAAAGAGAGAATTTTTCTGCGTTTGATACATTGAACCCAATTATTGATTGACAGTGTGCCGAGATTAAAGGACAAATACAAAAGAACATTACATTCCATTTGCAAAGCTTGAAAAATGAATTTAATCGCTATTTTCCTGACTGCAAGGACAAAGGTATTCGGAAACTGATTTGCAATCCTTTCATAGTCAACATTTCTGAGGTGCCGGATGAAATACAAGAAGAGTTAATTGAAATGCAACATGATAGTAACTGCAAGGATACATTCGAGACAGGAATTAATCTTAAAGATTTTTGGAGCCAAAAAGCTATTGCTTTCCCTAAAATTCGAGAAATTGCTTTACAGTACCTAACTTTATTTTCAACCACATATTTATGCGAGCAAGGATTCTCAGTGCTTTTGATAATTAAAAATAAACATCGAAATCGGTTGGATGCCAGTGCCGACATGCATTTCCTTTGAGTAGCACTGAACCAAGAATTCAGCAGTTGGTAAACAGTATGCAGTCACAAAAATCGCACTAAAATAATATAATTAATGTAACACTTTCGCAAATAATATAATACTCTTCGTTCTGAATAATTTTCTACGTGTTTAATTTATAGAACAACCTTATAAGAACCTATATTACTGCCAAATAGCTCGTGGTCCATGACAAGACAAAAATTTTCATAAATGGACCCTCATCACTAAAAGGTTAAGAACCACTGATTTAAAATATTGACAGACAAGGATATAATCAAGGAAACACTGTATATACAATGTGAATTTATCTGAATATCTTACAGGTAACGAATAATGAAACTTGAACNCCCTCATCACTAAAAGGTTAAGAACCACTGATTTAAAATATTGACAGACAAGGATATAATCAAGGAAACACTGTATATACAATGTGAATTTATCTGAATATCTTACAGGTAATATAATAATGAAACTTGAACTGCTTCATAGATTACAGTAGATATAGAATTAATAACGTGAGAACGAATTTCTCAATTCCGTTACCGTAAACGCTAGGTTATATATTACATAAAATTTTACACAATTAAAAAATTTTATATGTTCTGCCAATTTGTATCAAACGTAAATAGTGTTGATGAAAAATGTAATTTTGTGAGTATGAAGGAATACTACAATTACTGCTTGTATTTGGGTAAAATATAAAATATTTGTGCTTTTATAGCTTCAAAATGGTCATCCGTAACTTACACATTAAACTTTATAACTTAGTATGAACTTTATACTAGTGATACGACTAAACAGGCATTTGACATTGACCGGTATCGACACCCTCGGGATTTGGCAGCCCGCGTGCATGCATACACTGCAGGACCGTCTCTGATCGCAATCATTAGCCACTGGTAGGGAGCTATTTGACTAAGTGGATTGTTTTAAGATTTAAAAAGTAAAGAATATTTTATGTTATTTTTATGTACGTTTCTTTATAAAGCTACTAGTAGCCCGGGACGCCCCCTAGTGAGCGTTATTTAGAAATTTCCATAAGGCACGGTTCCTTTGACTTTTTTGTTCCTATCAATACGCTGTACAATTCCGTTAAAGTTCCAATGGTAAGATTTACCCTCCGAATGAAGGAGTGGCAACCCTCCAAACTGTAGCCTCCCTGTGCGAACAATAAAGTCAAAGGAACCATACCCCTACTCGCGACCCTTCGCGAGATATAAGCCGCGTGAAAATTCTCCTACGTCATTTCCGGTAACGTGACATCGTGGTCAAAAGGGAGCCTACCGCGCAAAAAAAAATTAACGCGCATTCGCCCACACTCGAGGGGGGGTCGCCGACCCGCTCATTCGCAGGGTAAATTGTGGAAAACAGGCGGTCACATGACCCGTAGAATAATTTTCGGAGGGCTATATCTCGGGAAGGGTCGCGCGTAGGGATATGGTTCATTAGACATTTATTGTTCGCACAAAGGGGGGTCGCCACCCCTTCATTCGGAGGGTAAATCTTACCGTCCCAATCGCGTCATACAGATCTATATTTCTATCTATTAAACATTCCATAAACACTTTAAAATAGTTTAATTTGTTTATTTACCTTCGGTTGTAAACCTCGATTTTAAATGTATCCGCCATTTTTTTCAACAAATTTCTCGTGAGTCAATGAGCGACGTTCATTGACTTGTGAGTCACGGGATGTTGTAAATGTGCGGCGCAAGGTTAATCAAGGCATATAATAAGGCAAGGCAAGGCACATAATAATTATTTATACCACTCCGTGGTATAAATAATAAATTCCTATTACAAATAAATATAATTTATTGTTAATTTAAAATCTTCGCTAGGGCGCCTCTAGTGACCGTTTTTGGCATCCGTTACGCGGATAGACAACAGATATCCGTTGAATGGGTTATATATATAGATATTTAATTATAAATTTCTTTAAAAGTATATTCGTACAATTGAAGATATTAAAAATGCATTTAGAGAAGTTTACTGTTTTTACTGGCTTATCGAACAAACGAATACGAATTACTGACCAGACCATTACTGACGCGCAATTAACTGATGCCCTGGAAGTCGGCTTCTTACAGAAACACAGCTTCCAATGTCAAATGACACGGCACGCCAGTCTTACATATTACAATTTTCTTGTATTCGAACATTTCTTTTATAATATGTAGCCATGTTTCCCACGTATTACAAACGTTTGTCGATTACACAAATATTTATTTATTTTAAACAATGTTCTTTCTATTTTCGCAATACTAGACTTGCGTTTTTCAATAATTTTTTTCATTTTTTGAAAACCTGTCTGATAATTTTGAAACTTTTCTCTTAATTCAGAATCATGCCTTAACTTAAAATGACTACTTTATTTTCTAAATCATTTTTTTTTTCTGCAATCCTTTGCTTAAAAAGACAAAGAAAATGTAATTAAAACTAAAAGTATGTTTTACCTTTTTCCATTTAGCTGTGACATTATCCATCCATATTTCACAATTAATTAAATTTGTTTTTTCTTCTATAATTTCGAATGCAATGTTATCTTTCTCTTCAACAAGAAAAGTCTAAATTAAAATTAGAAAAACGTTATTGTTGTTAATGACAGTTTGTACACGGCTGCAAAATGGACAAAGCAGTTCAGACAGTAGGCTAATACTCTCAGAAATCCAAATCTGTGGATGCAATGGAGAAACTCAAAAAATATTTTCAAAACAAATTTTAAAGATGTACAACATCCTTCTGATATTTTTAATACTTCTACATAAATATCAAGACTATTATGTAGTGTGTGTATTAGAGTGACCCTTCAACCCGGTAATTTACTAATATAAATAAAAGTTGGATTCCCTGCTGAGAAACTTTAATAAAATTTCAATTTTGTGTTCCGTTGGATTTTACGTTATTGTGCGAAATTTAGCATAAAAGCTAAAAATGGCAACCTTTGTACTCACGTACCGGTACAATACCGATTGAGTAATAATTACCAATTATTTTAAATCGAAAACAGTTAATCAGAATTAAATTTCATACTAATTATGTGAGGACGGAAGTAAGTCAACGAAGAGGTCCGAATATGGACTATCAATCGAGAAATAAAAAAAATCTCCTTTTACAACTTGAGAGAAATTAAAGATCTCGATTAAACAATGGAAGTTTTTTTTATTTATTTAAACAACAGAAAAGACTAAAGACGAGAGAAACATGGCTGGAGTCATATTTAGTCGCGAAACTGACCTTTCCCGTGCCCTCCGATCGGTTTCGAATTGTCACCAGGTGACGAGTTGGGACCAATGAAAAGGCGGCTTTAGGGAAAACACTTATAAAACTGCACGTTTCAAGGACGGGAAGTTCTTGGTTCAAAGTGCTCCCCTCCTGGATTTTGAGCTCCTGTCCAACAACGAAGACTTGTTCGACATCCCAAGATTCGTTTTCTCTAGCCGTCCCGTCAAAATTCGCCCAGATACAACTGGTCATCTCTGCAAGTTGTGCTGTTTGCCCCGGGGCCGTCACTCCCCTCACCTTGGCTGGAAGAAACGAAACGATCGCAGGAACATTTCTCACAATTCCAGAAATTCTTTATTTCCGTAATATTACTAACACAATAACTACTAACTTCAAATGAAAAACAAACCATTTTAATAAAATCTCAAAACAAATTTCAAAGAAATATATTAATGAAATTGGGAATTATCTTATTCCTTCCAAGTGTGAAACTTTTAAATTTATATTAATTAAGATTCTGTCTACTATGGCTTCTGATGTGAGCATTCAAACTGGATTTACGAGAGAACTTTCGTAAACAATAATCTCACTTAAATGGCTTTTCTCCCGTGTGAATGCGAAGATGCCTCGTCAGATCTTGCCTTTCTGTAAAGCTTCGCTTGCAGTGGTCGCAGGTAAAAGGTTTGTGTCCGATATGAAACCTTAGATGCCTTCGTAAATTGGAAGCGTGGATGAATCTTTTATCACATAACTGGCAACAGAATGGCTTTTCTCCCGTGTGAATTCTCCTATGCTTTTCAAAGTTTGACTTCCTGCAAAATTCTTTCCCGCAATTTTCACAGACAAACTTCTTTTTCCTCTTCTTTAGACTTTGGCTGGCGAAACCTACGAGACACCAAATATTAAACTTCAATGTTAACGTTTAAAAGTAATTGATTATTATTAAGTATTGCAAAGAAACGCAGAAACAATTACTTCTGCGTTTCTTGGCAGCAATTGCTTTACAATATCTTAAAAAATAAATCTAAGTTTAATCAATATGAATAAGATTTGACAGAAACAACTCCGTGTTTGCTTTCGGAAAAAGTTCAAAACAATTGTTTATAACAGTATTTTCAGTTGTCAAAAACTGTTCAAAAAGTTTATTAATCAACACAATCTTCACAGTATATTTGGTAAAAGGTAAACATTTTTCATTTCAAATCCATTTCTTCACAAGTAAATATTCATTTCTTTCTTCTAAACTTGTCCGAAACTTTTCAAGAGAAATGTTGGGCGCCTCCGAGATATATCTTAAAGAAAAATGTACAAATTAGTAAGAGATAATGTTTAATTTTCCTGTCAATTAAACAATATTTGAAATCCTTAACACGAGTAAATTTTAAATATACAAACGATCTTTCGCAATACTTAAACGAGTGTTGCGAAATCTGAGAAATAAATGAGGTCCAGTTGTTGATGCTTTCATTAATTAGTCAAAACAAAATAATATCGCCATCTCAGATTTTCGGTAAGTTAACACCAAGTGCCTACTTCTCTGATGCAAAGAAATACGATTGATCCTACGATAACGCCAAAACGTAAATCACCACCTTTCAGTCACGTCCTGAGGTACAGAAAAAACGGAAATTTTGGATTATTTCCTACTTTAAATTCACTAAATTCTGTGAATTTATGTAATTTATTTATATATTCACTAGATTATCGAATAAAATAGTACGTAATTCGAATGACAAACGAATATTTATTTGGAAGCATCCCATTTCTTGTACTTGTGTTTGTTAACATCACTTTCTTTTCTTCCAATTAAAGTTCATTTTTTAATTACACAACTCTACATTTTTGCTTTTTTAAACTTAAAAATCTTCAATTTTCAATCTCAGTCCTAAACATCGACATCACTTCTTACATGAAATCTTTTACAAACAATTTCATCCGAAGCGTTCATGAAATATATTTAATATTAAAAATTGTTGTCATTAAACAATGAAAACATTTATTATATCTAAAGGATTAATTGAGAGAAAACAGTTTAAAGCCAGAAATGAAAACTTGTTGTCCTTAAACTGTCCAATTAAATTATCTTTACCCTTATTTGCATAAACTATTTTTTAATTTTCATATTATAATCGCGACATTAATTAAATTTTCGTAAACTATAACACATTTATTTTTAATTATTAGTGAAACTTGTCTATAACGGACCCCACGGGACCGAACACCTCTTCCGTACTAGACAGGTTTCATCTATATATACCGGTTACCTGCTATAGGTACCCCTCGATTAATGCGATTAATAAATTTCTCGGTGTTACCGCGTATATCAGAATCGCGTTAATCAAATACATTGGTACCTCGGTACTCGATCACCACCCGCTACAACAGATTTTTGATTTGTTAAAAATTCACCAGTTATTTGAGGGTCGTACGTTTCGTACTTTTTAGTTCAAAATTTCGCGAACGAAACTTTCAAAACCACGTTTGAGACGTTCGGAATTTAGAAGCATCTTCCCCATACACCGTACGGATACTTTTTACCGTTTATACAGCGGAATATCCTTTACGAAACTTAAAAAGCATGCATAATGTGCTCGATGTGCATTTTATCCGCAGACGAAATGTAATGGAAAAAGTTTAAAATAAGCTTCGAAACAAAGGATACAATCTCACATGAGGAACAAATGTGTTAAATTTTAAAACTTGTATGTAATTACATTACTTGTTTGTGTTAATAAAAATACGCGAAAACGTTCGGTTTAAATCCTAATAAAATTGCTGTAATATTAGTCGTATAAATAAAGTATTTTGCTATTCTGTATGCGTATTTTTGACTTTTTTAATGATTTTTACATGCTAGGATTGAAAACTTCTCGTTAAATTCGTGTTACATCGGATAAAGGTACCCATTTTTTCGTTATACGGCCCGATTTTCCTTTCCGTTTCCGCGTTAGACAGCTTCCGCTATATACGGGTTAATCAGACGGTAATTTAATTATAGAATATATGCACTACTGTTATAAATATTACCGTTTAAGTGTAATTTTAATTCATTCATTCATTTAAAAAATTTATAAAATTCCGCAAAAAAGACCCACCGAAACAAAATGGAGGCCAGCCAGAAATTTGAAAAAAAACAACGTCCATTCGGCTTAATTAATAGGTTCTAAACTTTTTTTTAATTTTACTGATAAATAGTGTTTTAAACGTAATTAAAATAAAAAGAAATTACATTATTAATTTGTTTACGAGACATTTGCTTTAAAAAGAACCTACCTTTCCTCCATTTTAAACCTTCGCCTTTGGATAATTCGTTGGATTCAAACGGTCGTCCACCCGCGATAATCTCGAAGACTTCGAGAATATTTTTTCAATTTTAAATTATAAGTTCGAGTAAATATAAATTTTAAAGTTTGTTTCAAAAATAAATAAATAATAATTTTAAATGTTATCATTAATATAATATCATCAAATTATAAATAATGCGTCGAACGGAAGTGACGTCGAAAAAGATTTATAAAACGACAAAGCAAAGTCATTTATAAAAGTGTTAATGATTACGTTTATTTTATATTAATTAATGTGAGAATCTGGAGTTGAAAGATTACGTTATTGACAAATTTATTTTAAATAATTGTTAAAACTTTGATAGAAATTTTATGTCACGAGATTTAGAAAGCTGGAAAAGAAACTTATTATAAGATTTTTTTATGTAAACAAATCGTATGAAGTCTTTCGGACGTTAAAGTTTGTAACTTCGATGACGTGCGGGGCCATCACTACCTGTCAGAGAGTTAAAAATTCGATTCGTGAATATATCCGTGTTATCAAATATAAATATAAGTCAGCTGTTGCTTTACATTGTAACTCCTCAAATTGTGAAATTATTACAAATAGTGTAGAAATCCTAATAAAAGAAAATAATTTAATTTTAAGAAAGTTAAAGGAACATTTAGAAATTAATAAAATTCCTAGAACACAAAAAACAAATCTTAATTAAGGCCTTGAAATTTCGACAGTTTGAGACACAATACTTTTTAATAGGTACAGCTCATCTTTTATCCCTGTGTTAATATAAGTTCAAATATCTTACCTTTTAGCATGGTTTGTGTGAAGTTGGGACGTCTAATAATCTTTTTATTTAATTAATATCTTTTTAATTTATCTTTCTATTCATTAAATATTAATTTATTTTAAACCACTTTAGTTTTAATCTTTATACATTCGGAATCCAAATGATTATTTTTACGTATAAATTTTTAAAGTTATTGCTGTTTTAATTTTGCATTTTTCTATTCAACTTTAATTACGTTTCACCTTTGTGTTTTAGGTTTTATTTCTTGTGTTATATTGTAATTCATCCAATAACAACGTATCATTGCTTGTTGATTACCTTATTTGTCTACATTCTCTGTACATAAAATATACATTTTTATAAAATTATTTTGTAATTAATTTTAATGATTAATTATACTGATGTTCTAATGTTAAATCGGGCCAGACTGATGAGGAGCAATAGCCCGAAATGCATTTCGGACAAACCAAAAGACAATAAAGATACTTCTTAGACGGTGAATGACTCGACTCCTTGTATGATTTCATCCCGCTAGAGTATCACAATATTTGTGTATGTACTCGTTTTATATATAAAAAAATCTGTATTCTAATACTCATATTTTAGATGCTGTTCAATTATTTAGAAAATCGAGTCGACGAGTTATTAATTTTACGACGAGTAACTTTTACATTCTCACTTATGGCCAAGTCTTTCCCAAGTGTAAAGACTATCGTAGTTAAATGATCAGAAATTGTCTTGATGAATAAGAAACTCGGACTCGCTGACATTTGTTAGGCCATAGTCCATCATATAACTTTATAACTCGTATTTCTATGTATAAATAATTCAATACCTGCGTGTTTATTACGTTGCCTTTCTGTTTTCTCTATATCAGGGGTGGCCAACTTTTGTACATAAGATATACTTTTTATTTTAAAAATGTGTCGCGATCGACTTGTTGTCGTAGGCATAGTCTAAGTGGCGAGGGGAGGACGCGTAGGTCCGATCTCACTACAGTTGCGTTTGCGCGTTACGTCCACGCGTTGCGTTCGGTTACAAGTGTAACACGTTAAGTCAAGACATCGCGAGTGATCGACCGATCGCGATCGACTTGTTGGCCACCCCAGCTCTATATAATAATCTTTTATTTTTAAAGGAGGATTGTCGGCATTTGTGAAAGTTTCACAAATAGTCGGTATATCAAAGTTATAGTCGTATTCGTCTGCTATATTATGTCTATATATTTATTACTCGAGCCTCTACCATTACAATTCGGCACAAAAAGACCTCTTCTGTTATTTAAATTTTTCCTGTTTAATAGTATTTATAATCCTCTGTTTTATAGCAGGGCTGATACACTTCACGATAATCGGTCTTACATCATTTCTGTAGTTTTTTTTATTATTATTGTTAGGTCTAATATTTTTTTGCATTTAATTAAAATAAGAGATTGATTAATTAACCTCCTCGAAATACTAGTAAAATCTGTGACTGAACTCCTATGAAATTCTGTGTCTTACGTCGATAAAATCGAAATTGCTTTCGCTTTAAGGGTTTGAAACTTAATTTCCTTCAATTTATTTATCTCCCACTGAATGTATTATTTAAAATAAATTAATTTGTTTTCTTTTGGTTTATCAGAATAATTATGTTATAGAAATGAATTTAACGTTTGTTTTTCTGTAAAATGAAGCTAAATACAGTAAGATCCCGCTTTATTACTTCAACAATTAAAATTTTACGTGGAATTTTCACGATTGTACTGTACTGTACATAAATGTTTATATCGAAATTTATCAAAATATTAAAATTTAACATTTTTGGATTAATTTATAATTAGAGACATTATTATTAACAGTTATGAGAGATGAAGATAAGAGTAAAAATTCATAATGAAGCAAAATATAATTTTAAAACCTTGGAATTTTCTAGTGAAAAAAGGGCTTGAAAAGTAAAATTGCATTAAAGTGAGGTCTGCGATTTTAGACATGTTTTTAACATCAGAGGAAAATCCTTAAAAGATAGAATCACAAAAAGCGGTTTATACCTTAAACTAATATACAAATTGGTGTTAAGAAGAGTTGAATATTAGTGATGTAACGAATATTCGGTTACTATTCGGTATTCGGCCTATTCGGCCTATTTTTCGCTATTCGGCCGAATACCGAATATTTAATCACTATTCGGCCGAATACTGAATACCTAAAAACAGGAGTAATAAATAACAAAAACACAATAAATTAATCATTTTGGTATTTAGATTTAATGTTATCGAGTTAGTGTTGTTTGTTTATATTTATTTATAACTTGTAACATGCACAAAATAAAAAAGAAAATAATATTAGTCACATGTATTCACAATTTATAATTACAAAGATCAGCACACGTACACTACACACCTATTCGTTCGAGAATCATCGCACATCTGAGGGTCTGACCCTGCCTATCCTTCTTTTTAAGCGCTCGTCTTTGCTCTTCCCTTTCTCTTTCCTCTATCGCTCTAATCCATGTATGCCTGTGCATACATCATAATACGCGCTCACGATACTTTCGATTCGTCACTTTTCCGTCGTAGAGTTCCCATTTTACAATTACGTGACTCAGCCTGGTGATAACGGAGAAAAGAGACAGATAGGACGTCGATATAAGTCACAGTTATGATTTCACAGATTCGAGACAGCTTGATAGCCCGAACGGCCGCAGGCTTTCGCCCGTGCACGCTAAGTGACTTACATTACAAGCATTTAGCTTTCAGAAGTCTATGACAACAATTGTTTGGCGTTGACGGCCGTTTTCGTGCGAATAAGCTGCCTCGACTTGTTCGATTATGTTATCGACTCAATTTCATATTTATTTTCACATTTTCACTTCGCGGTCCTTCTCTGTTCTTTTTCCGTTATTTACACGTGTAAGTCATTTCAATGTTATCCACATTTGATATCATCATTTATCACCTACTTCCATGACACTCTTGTCTGTCCACTACAACTGCCAAGAATTACCGCGATTGGCGAAGCATAGTGACAGCGGGCCAATAGAGAGCAGGATCCTTGCCATAATGCGGTTTGCGCGCCAATTTTCGTATGTGCGTTAATCAAGCCGAATAGTTTGGCCGAATATTCGGCCACGCTCCTGGCCGAATATACTATTCGTTACAACACTATTGAATATGCATCATGCAAGGCTATAGGACACTTGTTACAATACCCACAAATATTGAAAAATTACGTGATTTATTTTTACCACACCTAGAAAAAATTCATTTTTGTAAGGCTACAGTACACTGGCCAGTCTAATAAATTTTTTTTAATACTCTTTCCGCCCTGTGGACACTAAGACGGCCTCTTTTTTTTTTAATACTCTTTCCGCCCTGTGGGCACTAAGACGGCCTCTTATGACAGACCCATTGTGGGTTCGGCCAGGCCCACAATGGGGCGACCAGGTGATAAGGGACGGGGCCCGACATATCCGAACGGACCACTCCCCGAAAAATTCCTGGGGATTCCTTGATCCTTCCGGATTCGATCCCGGGTTCTCCAGAGCGGTAGGCTGCCACCTTGACCGCTCGGCCATCCGGCCGCATATTTAGGATTTAATTATTTCAGTCGAAGCGGTAGGCTGCCACCTTGACCGCTCGGCCATCAGGCCATTGCCAGTCTAATACTGGAAAAATTGCTTCAGTGGCCCATTTATTGCCGAAGATGAAATTGAAGAAGATGATTTGTATGTTGTGCTTAATTTAGAAGTATCAAGATGAGTAGCGTTATTAGTCTTTATTATTTTATTAAGTTTCAGTGTTATTATATTATATAGACTATGCTGGAGGCTACTTATACGAAACATATTTCTTGGATTATATTTTACATGTACATCTGGTAAATTTACATATATTTGGATGCTTTTCGTCTTTTTGGATGTAAAACTGAAAATTCAGTTGGCAAATCTAAACTGTATACAATTTTTCTGTACTCATTCCGTGAACAGATTCTTGAAGACGGTTCTATGATGGGAAATCTCAGAAAAATTTCGGGAAATCTCAGAAAAATTTCAGAAAATCAGGTACAAAATAATTAAACTTGTTAACTTAAAACGTTAACTCAAAGTCGGGATTATTTTAGTCCTTAAACGTCGACTTAATGCGGTTTTACTGTATTCTCTAACAGAAAGAAATTTACAGAATTAAATACAGTAGAACCCCTCTAATCCGTCACCTTTGGGACTAGGGGTATGGTCGGAACGCAAATAAGGTCGGATTATCAGAAAAAAGTAAAATAAACAATCTTCCCCTTTGTCCAGTCTTTGTAGCACTGCTAATTTTTCATTTAATGAAAGAGTAACGTGTTTACGTTTCACTCCTGACATGTTGAAAACACACACAAAACTGTACATGTACACACAATGTAAAACATATACTGTAACGAACACAGAAAAACGCCACGGACGGTGAGTCACCGACGAGTCGGGACAAGTTTCTCGACTCCGACCACGGTCGGATTAACCGGAGTGACGGACTAGCCGAGGGCGGACTAGAGGGGTTCTACTGTAGTAAGAACAATGCAAAGATCTATGGGATTTTATTAGCAAATTATTTCTTAGTAATTTGCCATTTTCCTATTTACTTATATTGTACTTTCCAAAATTTAGATTTTTCTTAATCTTCAGTTTGCAAATTTTTTAATTAATGAATTGTCTTTACTTTTATTAATTAATTAATATTTCAGTGTACAAATTCATTGAGACGAGGAATTTCGTTTCTTTGTCTCATAATGAAAAGTACTGTATATTGGACGGCCGGATGACAGCCTACCGCTCTGGGGACCCGGGATCGAATCCGAACGGGTCGAAAAATCTCCAGGAATTTTTCGGGGGGTGTTCCGTCCGGATTTGTCGGGCCCCGTTCCTCGCCACCCGGCCGCCCCATTGTGGGCCTGGCCGAACACGTAATGGGCTTGCTAAAGGAGGCCTTTTAGTGCCAACAGAACGGAAAGAGTTTTAAAAAATAAAACCCAGAAATCACGGAATAACCTTAACGGAAATTTCTCATTCGATGTTTATGAATACGAACATTTTATAATTGATATTTTTATTAAAATTTTTCTGATACGATTTTTGAATTTACTATTTCTTCCTATATTATAACATTAATTAATTTTGAATTTTCCTAAGAAAAAAGTTCTTCCGGTATTGGCACCAGTTTCGATTTTATTCGTCATGTCGTCGTTCGGATCGTCTGTTTATTTATATGTGATTGATTGATTAATGTGCACGGGACTTGGAGTCTTTTTGACACGTTTTTCAACTTCAGCACGCTTTTTTAATTCTAAAAAGTATTAAGTTATTTTTATTATTTGAATAGTAATAATATAATATATTAAAAGGAATAATATTGCCATTTTCAATGTAAACGAAGTTAATGAGGTAAGATAGTAATGTCACGAGATTTTTCAGATAAAAATTCGCAAAAGCGGAAATTTTAATTAATAGGGAAGCATTTTGATCACTTTAAGAATGTTTAAATAATGGATAAAAATTGATTTCTTAGATTCGAGCAACTAATGTAAGCCTAACAGCGGGAGATTTTGAAGACGAAAATTGGAAAAGATACTAACTCCGCTTGAGACTGTAGCGACCTCTAGTAGTGTCAGCTCCCGAAAAGGCTCAATTCAAGCTCTGAATGAGACGTTTGAGACCTTATCAGAGCTGAAGAGCATAACTATGGGAACAAAAAAAGGTCAAAGGAACCGTATCTCTATGAGCGAACCTTCGTCAGATATGGTCCCTCAAATCTGGTTGTGTGAGATCGCCAGTTGCATTGATCCACAAAGACTGTCACATTTAACTATTTAGCCTAAGTGACTGTGCCGGCTTTAAGTAGCCCTCTTGACTGTTTGTGGCGTACTTGATGTTATATAGTTTTAGGGGGTGCGGGGTCTTGTCCCCCACCCGGTCACTGAGGTGCTCATTGTTGCTCGCAATAAAGTGCATGACTACGTGTGGAGCCTTGATGGTGTGGAACGTGTAGAATAGGCAGTATACTGTTACGTGTTAAAATCTGACCTTTGGAGGCGAATGTCTCGCAGAAGGTCATATGTACAAGGTAAAATTTCTGACTTTTCTTTTTGTATGAGGTGGGTCTACAGTTTGGGTGAGTGAGTCGGAAAACCCATCATTTGGAGCTTGAATTTTACCCACAAAAGACTGTGGTCCTAAATGTGACTCTTTGTGAGATATTCGGATAAGATGTCGTGTGCAACCAAGGGCAAATTCTCTGGGCTTGCTTAGCATGCACTATACACTTAAGAGAAAGTTTTGACTGTCTATATACTTTTTATATGAGAATAAATATGCCAATAATAATTTATTGTAACATGTAGCCTAAACTCTTTTATCAATTGTGTTTGCTTTTACATTGGCGGTTAGCTATTTTAAGTCGGTGCCATGTTTGCAGGAATTCGATCGCTTGCTTGTGTGGAGGTTTGCCATGGGAAACAAGTGTGCGCACCTGACATCGTTTGAAGCATTTAACACTGCCGGATTGTATCGAAAGCTTCCGATATCCAGTCGGCATACATGTATTATGTACAGAGGAGGATCTACTTAGAGATTAATAGGGCTTAAGCCCTGGGTCTCCAAGTCAAGGGCCCACAAAATTTCAATTATTATCATAAATTTTTAATACTTTTTCATTATAATATATTTTGTATGTATTATAAAGTCCATTATAAAGTCCATTATATGTATAATGGACTTTATAATAGTCCAAACTTTTTTATTCACACCAAATAACATTTCTACCTATTGTTGTGCTAGAGATAGACCTGTTATTCTTATTGCAACTTTCAGCATGTCCAAAAATTTTGTTTAGGATTTGCCCCTGCATACAGCTACAGTATTGGTTGCCTTAAAATATTCCAGAAAATGTTAATGTAAGTTAGTGATAGAGGCATATTCCAGAGATGCTACTTGATACCAAAGCAATTAGTTTCGTTACTTCAAAATAAAAATATAACTACACATACTGCATGACTTCAATTAAGATCAGGTGACTAAACTAATTGTAAGGTAGTTTTTTTTTTTAAGTTTTGATATTACCTCATCATAAGCTTTGATACATTTCCTCATAAATTAATTTGAAATCTAGGTGGATTGAGAAAATGAGATCTACTCTTTTCCATAAGTTAAAAAACACTTTATTTTAAAAAGAATCTTTGTCTTTAAACAAACAGTTAACCATTCTTCCAGATCCAAACTACAACATAGGATGCATCTAGGTGGCAATTAAGTAAGCAAATCAATGACATAGTCTGTTTCATATGAAATGAACTATCATTGGTTTGCATATTTAGCTTTTCACCTGCTAGATTCACCCATAGGTACTGTAGATCAAATCAAGTATTTTGGAATACTGCAAATTACATATAATAACTTATTCATTATTTTTTATCGTAAATACAATTTTAAAAAGACATTTTATATTTTTACCAGCACCCAATTTTATCATTTGAAATTAGTTTGAAAAATTACTATATTAGTGCCTCATACTTTCATTTTAATTCATTCCAGGAAGTCATTCATACTCTGAATTGTTCAAAGTCTGAATCAATTTTTCCCATTAGAAATAATGGAAAGTTAATTAATCCATTCCCAGACCCTGAACAATACCCATTTTGATAAACTTAAAACAGCAAATACACATAATTTAATTTAAGTTAAAAATAACACAATTAAATGCCCTAATAACAAATAAAATACAAAAGCAATAAATAAAATATGTAAACTCTATGTAATAAAATGAAAATTGCATGCATTGGTCATGCACTATAAACTTTGGCATCTTAACATAGATGTGTGATTTAATTATAGCAGTTATGAAATTTAAAATATAGATAATATGAGATTTTATTGTTTGTTTAGAATGTTACTTTAAACTGTTTTCTTTGCATTTTGTTTGAATAAAATTGAGTTGTAATGTCTTGGATAAAATGCTTGTCAGGAATATTATGCTTTGAGTTTTAAAAAGAATATAATGCCATAAAAACAATAAAAATTTGTAATGTGTATGGGAAAGATGCTCCTAAACTTCAAACATTCATTTGGCATGTTCAAAGTTTAGGAGCATCTTCTCCATACACATTACAATTTTTGAACTAAATGATACAAAATGTACAGAGTGCCAAAAAGCTGTCAACAAAGAAAAATTGTAAAACATCAATGAATAACACACAATATAATATATACAGTATAACCAAATTTCTTTATAAAATAAAGTGTTATCTAACTTATGGAAAAGAATAGATCTCATTTTCTCAATTCACCAGAGTTTAAATTAATGAGGAAATATATCAAAGCTTATGATGAGGTAATACAACCAAACATGCCAAAAATAAAGCAAAAAATCATTGAAAACATACAGGAATAACACAAAAGCAAAAGATGTCTTAGACAAGTGACTCGCCATTCATGGAAGCTATGGAAGCACCACTTCCCTTGTATTTTCTAAAATATAAATACATATTGTGAGATTATTTTCATATTTTAACATACTTTGAATTAATTAAAATTAATATTATTATAACTGCATTATGTATCTTATTACATATTTCCATACTACATGTGGAAAAAATGATAAGATTGCTATTGTATATTCATATATGCATATTCCTAATGGAAGCATTGTATTGTTGAATATGGTATAGCTTCCATGGCAAAAATATTTGAATCATGTAAAGCAGCTGTGGTGAGCACGTGGTGATGATTGAGTTCTCACAAAGAGACAGGAATATAAAACAATAAGACGTGCTTTATTTTTACTGTATGAACATATATACAGGAAAGGTTCGTTGATTCCGACCTCCTTGTTCCTCACTTTAATTAAACAAAAGGGAACAAACAACACCGATCGTTGGTTCACAGCGGAGCTAAACTTTTCTTTCGCGTAACAAAGGAGACATTTAATTACTAACTTAAAACTACCTATAACTAGAAGAGGAAAGGAAGAACAAGAATTAGGATAGAATGGGAGAACAAAAAAAAGGAAATTTCTAGCAAGGAACGGGTACCCGAATGGTTGACTGCGGTGGTGGCCACTAGATGATTTCGTCTTGGGATTCTTTTCTTCTATGGGGACGGAGCACATGCGAGGACCCAAAATTCGTTCTGAAATCTCGGCTTTTCCAAAGTTCTTTTTCTCTTCCAATGCGATTTCTGTCCTTAGTGTTCTTCGTAACCCTTCCGGCCGAAGCAACACCCAACTCGAGACCGCTCTCTCCGACGGTCTTTCCTCCTTCGGTCCGAAGCCAAAAGTGTCCCTCGTCCCCCACTTGCCCTCTGGGCTATCTTCACTCCTTTGTCTCGAAATTGGGTCACTGACCACCCACATTCAGACGAAAGTTCCAGAAAGTATAGAAACAGAACAAAGAGAAAGGGGAATAGAATATTCTTATATATACATATAAAAATAAAAACAACAAAATATACTGGTGTACCACCACACAGCCAGATTACAGGCATTTGCATATGTGCTTTAAAGAGCATCAACCTCACACAGTTTAACTTGTAGATGCTACACACCAAAATATTGTATAATGCTTCCAATGATTTTATCCAGGGCCGGCACAGCTTTCCTATCATCAAATGTCACCACACATCACTGTCTTAGACGCAACAAACTGCTTTTATGGTTCTAATGCATTTTTTCTCTATGTATGCAGTTCGAACTTTCAAGCATAATTTAAACTCCACAGCGAATTTTTGTCAAATTTTGCATTCTAAGTTTGAATGCAAAATTTGACAAAAATTCGCTTAAAATATGAGGTACCACTGTACTACAATTTCATGTGTGTGAAAATATCACAGAGAAAGTTTTGTTCTTTTAAATTTTATTATACATTAGAATTTGCTTATTGTAATTATTTTGGGAGACTTCTATACTGATGATAACTGACTAACAGCATTAAGTGGAGTAAATAAATAAGACTACAATTAATGGAAATTCTGGTTTTTAATTCCAAATGATCTCAAAACCAATTCAAAACACTGCAATAGAGTTCAACACAGTGATAAAATCCAATAACACTTGACAGCAGATTTGGAGGAAGCAGTATTAATATGTAAAGTCTTCAATGGACACAATATAAGATCAATAAATACACTAGAAATTTATAAAGTAATTAGGGAAGGAGAGAGTGTTAATTACAAAGATTGTGAAACATTATCTACAGAATGGCAATTGTTTTTATGACAACCCACAGACGGGAACATAGCAAGATGACAATTATATTATAATTTTTAGAGAATTTCATAAATGGTCTGATATGATGTATATTTATTTTTTGTGTTATAATTCTCAAGTTTAAGCTTCTGTCAGCATTTAAAGCATGGACATTCTATATTTTAAACTTCTAAACTATGTCATAGAACAAAGTAACATTCCAATTTCAGATTGATAGAAAATTCTTGTGTAGATCAAAAGCAAACTTTTAAGTGAAGCTGAAAATATTTGTCCAGTAATTAAACCTAAGTGTTATTGGATTTTATTACTGTACCAAATGATTTTGCTTTAGATGATTTATTATTTTTGTATGTTATGAAATTTATTTATATATATAATAACATATTTAAAACATTAATTTATTGAATGTTATGTTCTTTTATTAATTTTAGGTTTGAAATATCACAAAACAGTGAAAAAAGAAAATAAACAATGTGGCACCATGTATCATTCTGCATGTGGAGGCATTTAAATTCTCATTCACGACTGATTAAAGCTAAACAAATTTTTTGTATAAATCAAAGTATAAATAGATCATTTGGTATTACTTTCTGTAAAAATTCAGCTATTAAGGTATCATGTTCTTCTTTACATACAACAAAAGCTCATGGTGCACCAATAATGCCTATAATTATGATGATGATAAAACCTATTTCAAAGTTTATAGCTATCATTACTGGAAGGTAAGTAATTCAACTATTGCAAAATTAAAAAATAAAATTGTTATATTGAATTGATGACATAAATCATTAAAATTTGTCTTTCATTGTTCAGGTTTTTTTGTTATTATTAAATTACACGCACAAATCTTTTAATGTTGTAACCAAAGTTACATAACTGGTTCCGCAGTAAGCACAGCCAGATTAATAAATTACAGTCGACCCCCCTATAACACTGTTGATTTTTCCGTTTTATATGAATTCCATGTTGTACAAGTCACTTAGATTTTACAAATACGTGAGCCGTTCACAGCCTGGCACACATATTTGTACATGGCTGTTGTGACACAAAATTTGATTTATATTTTTCTTTATACAGTATTTCATGGTATTACAACATTCATGTTTAAACAGATTAGTAAAAATAATTATTATTATTTATTTATTTACATACACAGGCTGTTTGTTTGATATTGGTAGCTTCACAAGAGCTTAGCATCTTAGGTCGAGAGAAGTGTAAGTATGGCTCTGCTTGCATGCTTCTACTAGATGGCTTGTAGGGTCAAATCTCCAATTTCACTGTTTCATTCACTTCATATTTGTTTAAGAGTAGTCATTTTAAAGTGGTTATGCAGTTTAGTGAACTTTATCTCTAAAATTACAAACCTTTCTATTAGCAATTACAATTTATTTAATAAAAAAAAACTATTTTATTTTATTTTCTGCTTGCTTATTGTTTCAATTAACTTGTTTTTTTCACCTTTAAATAAAGAATTGCCTGATAACATTATGTGCTTGCTTGTCTTATTTCATATTAGTATCTTTTATATTGGTGAACAACCTAATAAACATTTTCATTTATTTATGGGTATATTGGTGACTGGATTATGTCAGAACAAACAACAAATTTCTACTGTAAGAAACAATGAAAAGACTCATAAACTGAGATGAGGTCTACATTATTTTTCAGATTTATGAGCATTTCCAGGATAAGATATGGTTGTAAATCAGGGTTACTTTGTATCAATCAATCCAAGTTTTTCACTAATTCAAATAATTCATACAATAATTAGCAAATAATTAATTTATAGCAGCAAGGGTGCACTTTATTGTATTGTTTGAAATGTTCTAATGATGATATTTCATGCTATACACCATCATTTCTCAACCATTTTAAGCTCAAGGACTAGTAAAATGTCTGAAAAGATTCCATGGACAACTAAGTTATATAGGCCTAATTTTTTAAAATTTATTTGGGTATTATCAACATTTGGGAATACTGTTCAATTTATACCATAATAAATCTAAAAGCATGTTTTGAATACATATGGAAACAAAATTAATTAAAGCAGAAGTAAACTATTAAAAGTCAATCATTAAATGAAGTTTTAATCTTTATTAATGTAAATCTGCCTATGGACCATCTGTCCTATCAGCATGAACCAAGGTTTGAGAAATGCTGCTATATACCACTTGCTTTTTATATATGATTAGTAAAATAATAAAAATACAAATGCTTTATTGACAATAATGAAAACAAAAAAACACAAAAAACAGAACAAAGTTCATGTCAAAGATACCATGATGATACTTTTTTCAGGTGTTTTATATTAGTATAACAAAAAATACATATATAAGAATTAAAATAACTATTCACTTAAGTTTTATCTTATAAATTATGAATGAAAATTGAATTATGATATTAAATTTTATTGAATTTTAAATTTTTAAAAATTTATTTTATCATTTTTATTTATTATTATTTTTAGAGGTGCTAGAAAATGGTGGAAGAGCTTACCTCCACATAAAAAGAAGTATTTTTTAGAATCAGCTAAAAGAAATAAATACAAAATAGCAGGTATACAAATATAAATTAGCAATTTTTAATTGTTCTAAATTAAATTTAATGTAATTAAAAATTAAAGTTTATGCTATGAACACACACATATTAGGTGCAGTCAAGTGAAACCTAATCTCTAATGAAATTTCTATAGCCTTGTCAAAATGTTTTAATGGTACTTAAAACTTACCAAAATAATTTACGTAGTTATTCTACTGCTACATCAGCCTGTAGATGCCAGTCTGAAAAATGTCACATGGCTGTGCCTGAAGCCAATTCAAAATAATTTATTGTACTTTTTTTTATCCATCTGGAATTTTTTTCAGAGAGCTGAAGATGTGAATTTACATGGTAACAAATTGTGCTATACACATGATGCTAAGCACCTAGTGGAATTAACTTGCAAATTTGGTCTTTGCTACAACAATATGATGTTTTGCATTATTATGCAGAAGGATAATCTTATCTGTTAAGAAACCTGGTCATCTGGATTTGATTACATAATGTAAGTTTTTTGAGGTCTTGCAGAATCAAGCAATATTGGTTTTGTTGCTGTGTTCAAGTAAGATAACGTAAAGAGGTCCATTTTACTTGAAAAAGAAATTCAACATCACTTTGCCTGCTGTTGGTTGCAATTTATATTTTTTCAAAGGAGGTAATAACTTATGCTTCCACTTGCATGCTGCTGCATCTTGTTTCAGACTGAAAATGATGGCACCATGACTTCTCATCTGTAATGATGCAGTTGAGAACTGCATTTCCTTTATTCACATATTACTTCAAACCAAAAGAAACACCCATGCAGACGGTTTTAATGTGGGGGTAAGCATTTTAGGGTCTACTGAATGCAGACCTTGTGATAAAGCTGGCAATCATGCAATATTGCTTGGCTAATGCTGATCTCCTGCAGTTTTGTCCTCAGTAATGTGCCAATTGGCTTGCACAAGCTGATCACTTTTAAGGTTCTAATCTATGTTGATGATATTGCTTGTCTTGACTATGGATCATCATCAAAAGATGTTCTTTCATTATGGAAGTATGCACTCCAAACTTTTATACTAGTTTTTGACAGGCTGTTTTCATCACATACATATGTTGATAAATATCCATCAGTGAAACTCCTTTGGCCATTAAAAAAACAAATAACTCCTTACTGTTTCTGTTTGCATACCTCCATTACTTGACTACTGCATTTACAAATGACTATTTCTTTACCACAGCTTGTGAGAAGCAATACTACTGCGTTGCAACACCCAATGTACAATAGTTTATTCTACTAGTTTTATCATCTCCCAGAAATAAAGCAATAAAATAGCAACTTCTGATTGTATTTCATTGACTGCACCTTATATATAATTTTTTCAAATTGTCTATTTTTATAAATATTTTTTATAGTTTTATTTATTATAAATATCCATAACCTTTATTTCAACAAAATCACATTTAAAATTCTTAGAATTCTTATTTTAATTTATATAACACAGTCATTCCTCACTTGACATCAGTAATTCATTCCTGAGAATTAAAGATTCTGAAGAAAAACGTTAACTGGGAGCCTATTTCCAGAATTTAAATAGGAAAAATTATAATTTGTTACAATATCAACCCAGAACTCTCTACTAATTTCCAAAAGCAGGATCAAAACAGAATTCCTATATATATGGATTAAAAATTATCATATTAGGATATAAAATACAAATAATAGTAATCTTTCATTTTGACTAGTTTAACTGTTATACTGAAGCATGCAATATCCACAAAACTTTCATAATAATTTTATTCAAAAGTTTTGCTATGAAAAGGTTGCCAATTCCTTCTTCGTGAAATATTTGAAAGAATGTAGCAACATACTGTTTAAAATAACAGCAGTTTGTCGTCTCACCTTTTAAAACTAAGTAGATGAATGGGACTATTTAAGGACACTGCTTACTAATATTGAGCTGGATATGGAAAAATTAGTATATCACTATACCAGGCCATCATTAATTATTTTTTATTAATTATTCAAGTACTTTAAGATACTTTTGGACAATTATTTTTTTTTATAAAATAAAATGCTTACATTTAAAAAAATGTTTATTAAAATTTAATTTTTAATGTATCATTTTTGACTGATTTTATGAAGATACTAATGAAATGTGTGTGCTAAAAGGAGTGGTAGTCTGCAAAAGTTTGAAAACACTGCTTTAAGCCTTTTGTTTCATGCAATTCCAAATACAATGAATCTGCTGATATTTGGTATTCAGTAGTCAGGAAAAGCAAGAATATTCAGTATTTGGCAACAGTAACATCTGAATAATTATTTGGTATTTGTCCAAAAACCATATTTGCTCCATCCCTAATTTAGGTAATAGATTTTTTGAAACCTGCTAAAATTCATTCCTCCATGCTTGTATGGGATGAAAAAATTAAAAATAGTTTTCATCATACTGACCAAAATATATTTTTGGTCAGTATGATGAAAACTATTTTTCATCATACTGACCAAAGAGAATAATTTGTTTATATGGTTATATATCATTAATTTTTAATTTTTGATATTCTCTGTTTATCAAAGAAGATTTATCCAGAATTATGAAAATATTTTGAGCAATTTATAGTTTTGATGATCAGAAACATGAAGCTTTTTCCTGGATCTTGATCCTGTAATGTAATCCTTTGTTTCAATATCATACCATCATGATATAAATTGTTCAGTATTTGTGAATTTACATAGTACTTTAATTTGTAAATTGGGAAATAAATTGGGTATTTGGAGTATCCAGTCTATTGAATTGAATACACTGTGATAAAAAATAAGATAAATACCTTACCAGTTATCTAAAAATGAGATGCTGAATCTTGACGTATATTTGATATTTAAAGTATAATCATATTCTGAATTTATCTTTAAATTGAATACAATAATATTTTTGTAAATTTTGCTTCTCTGTAATACTTGATGCAAGGATACAGTACATTAAATAATAATAATTGAAGAGTTTATAATTAAAATATTTAAATTAGTTCTGTATAGTTCTTAGACTATAGCTCTAAGTTTAATTAATAACAAGTAACCAGAAATTTGTTTATTTAGTAATATAGGATAACCTATATTTTATGATTAAAAAAAAATTATAATATTTATTTTTGTATATGTATTTCTGTATTATAATAATAATATAATTCAGAAATAAAATCTTTACTTTTGTACTAATTTATTCAATGACATGAAATGCATAGGAGAGATCTTAAAGAATCAACAGATTCAAATTAATTCAGAATCAACAGAGAAAATTAACAATTTTAAGATTAAGCATTCAAGCAAATATAGTTTTAAAAATGTAATGAAACAATAGTTTATTTTCCAAAGAGGATTTGTTTTGCTTTTTAAAGATAATTTTCAAACTATTTCATAGAAATTTTTTCCTAGTTAAATTACAGAATTTAATGTATGTAATGTATTGTAAATTTAATGTATGTTAAAAAATGTATGTATATCATTATTATATCAGTCTATAAATGAAAATTTGTTTTTGTTCATATTCTTTAATATAATTATTTTTCTGGTATTGTTTAGTAGAGTTCTAAATTTTATTTATTGAATATTTATATGTTCTGATTATTATTCTGTTTATAATAATGATTTCTTCTATCTCTAGGTTTCACATTGTTTACATCAGGAATGTCAGCAATATATTATTATAGTCATATTCAAGAAACACCGTTTACAAAAAGGAAGCGTTTTATAGCATTAACTCCAGAACAGTTTGAACAGATTGCTGATTTTCAATTTAAAATGGTGAAGTATTTCAAAACAATTATTGGTTTATATTATTTGTGTAAAAATTATATCATGTCAGTTTTCCATATAAAGTTAATCCAGAGAGAATTATTTTTTCCCTCAATTGAGCTTACAATACTTTGTTAAATATTTGTACAGAAAATGCTTGCTGGTAATTATTTTGTTACCGAATTTATTCAAAATCTTTTCAGGAATTATTATTACATAAACAGTTGATATTAATATTAAACAGTACTTTAAATTCCATAATCCTGCATTTGCAGGTGTAAAATTGATATTAATGTTGTCATTTAGTGATGCTTTTTTTAATATTGATAATAAACAAAAGATATTTGTCATTTGTTGTAATCATTGCTAAGATTCACATACTTTCTTCAAATCTAACATCAATAAAATTATCCTTTAGTGAAATGTAGTAGTACAGTTTTCAATAAATAATAATGTATACTGTTGACTGTATAAATTTTAAAATTGAAATTTTATTAATAGTATTTTTATTGGTAAAATTTCAATTTTTGTACATAATTTTGATTTGATGAAAGAAAATATATTCAATCATCTTAATATGACTGAATAATACCATCAATGTTTACAATTGTAGTTAACATTTTTACTGTCAGCAAATATTGCTTTAGATTGGTCTACACTACAATATTGTATATGTTGATTCTTCTAATGATCCCAATTGAACCAAAAATGTTTCAATGATTTTTTTGCACTTGTCAGAAATTATGTGTATTTTAACTTTTACTATATGTGGCTGCTACATAACATGCTTGTATGTCTGTGGATATCTGTGAAGTTTATTGAAAAAAAAAGATAGAAAAATAATAAAAATAATAATTATGAAACTATTTTTTAGTGGAATCATTCTTTTTCTTTAAATAAAAGAGCTGATAGAAAAACTTGTGCCACAACTCAATGTTGCAAGATCATCATAAATTTACTCAGTACATTTTTTATTTTAATTAAACTTTTACAGAATGCTTAATCAATGCACTCAAATAACTCATAGCATAATTTTGCTGAATATGCAATTGTGTTGGAAATGTCTTGCAGTTTTTAATAAAATATATCATGTATGTTTTCACAAGTTTGAATTCTCCTGATCATACTTTCTCTAGTTGTTGGTTTCTATTCATAGACAACATCTTTAATTATCTCCACAATTAAGTCAGAAGTCAAGTTTGCTGATTGTATGGACCATTGTACTGGTATATATATCCTCCAATTCACCTTCTATTAAAGTGCATGTTTCAATAATATAGTATAATTTATGCATAGTGTAACTCTTCCCATTTCACTGAATTCACATTCTTTGCCTTGTATATTTATCAAGCAAAACTGCTATAGTAATTTATCTCTTATAAACTCCATAAAGTGTTTCCATACATATTTCCGTGAAAAAAAAATTTGGACCTAGGTAACCATTGATTGAGTTTTTTTTATCAGTTCATTATTTGAAGAAAAAGAATGATTCTACTAAAAAAAATAGTTTCCTAATGACTTTTTTAGTATTTTTCATCCTGTTTTTTCAACAGCTTCACAGATGTTTGCAAACATGTATGCATGTGGTATGACAGCCACATAAAAATTTAAATGCTTATTCATAACTTTGATAGGTACTATCAAAGTTATGAATGAGCATTTAAATTTTATGTAAAATATTATAAAGAATTAATATTATAAAGATGTACCATCTTTCAAAAAAATAATAATATTTTACATAAAAGCTTATTTTTAGTGTAGTATGATAATATGCAACAAAAAATGGGTGTTCTTATTTAAGATAATAAAGTTGATCTTGTTTTCACTGATTGCAACACCATCATTGATAGTCCCATCTTGTGGTCCTCTTGAAGTCTAACGTTTTTTTGTGTTTATTTTACTGTGAAAATTTCTTTTTAGAATGTGTATTTTTTGAGTTATTCCAGTGGATTGATAAAAATGGAATGTCTTGTATATACTGTTCCTTTTAGATTGCTTCATAGTTGTCTATTTTATTTGCATTTTGTTAAATCTGTATAATAATTCATTAAGATGATATCTTAATGAATTGTTATATTTTAATGGCTTTTCATCTAAAAGTGTTAGGAGTTTCAATAAACAATAATAATACTGTATTTCCTTGATTATAAAATGTATTTTTCTACTTGCTTTTGCTTGCCTGAAATAGAGATGTCTCAGTCCAAAACAACAATCAGCAGAGATTTTAAGTAGGCCATATGCATCAATAACAGACAACAGTTATATTAATTCAAATGAGCTTTACTATTAACAAATGTTTAATTTAAATATTTTTTAATGTTTAAAGTGTTTAAGATGACATTATAGTGCTGAATTAAAACAAAAAGCTATTGTGTATGCAGGAAAATATTGAAACATAAAGCTGTTGAACATCAACTGCATCATCTATATTTGTATGTAGCTTTATAGAATATAGATGCTATAGATGATACTCTATATATCATCTAGTTCTAATTTGTGGTTACTCAACAAAATAAAATTCATTACTTTAAAATTTTTTCTCTTAATTACTTAATTTTTTTATTTTATCAAATTATATGATTTAAGAAATATAAAAATATTAAAGTTCAATTTTGAAATCATGGTATATTATAGAATTGAAGAAATATTGTAATAATTTTTGACGAGACTATGCCTCGTCTCTAAAATTGCACTGCCTTAGAGTATGAAGGAGTACATGTCAGGAATTGCAATTTGACACACAATATTTGGTGCCCAAATCATGTGCGCACAAAATAAACCAGACTTGAAGGTAGTCATGGGACCGAGAACCAGGTCAAAAGAAAATACGAAATGCTGAGACTGTTTCTACAAACAGGCACGAGTGCAAGAATTGTGCATGTTACAATGTTGCTCGCGCTCTCCAAGACATAGTCTCGTCCCAAAAATTGCTTCGCCATTTTACTCGTTTCTTTTTATATTTAATCATGATGATATTTGATTTTTGTTTATTAATTATTTGTGTAAACTAAATGATATTTACAATTTTGATTTATTTTAATTTTCTACAACTTTTATATAGTTTGAATGTTGAAAATTTATATAAATTGTTTTACTTAAAATTGAATGTGTAAATAATTTTTCTAAATAAAAAAAATAGTTTGTAAATGAATTTTGCTGAATTTGATAGTTAACTGCTAAGCTTATATTTTTTATGAAATTTTAAGTCTATTACTAACCTAATTTTTGAAATTTTTTATTATGACTGAATCAGTTACAACTAAGATAAGAGTATCATAGTGCTCAGCAAATAAATAAACATAAACAAAACACCTTTTTTGTTGCTGAGAAATACATACAATTGAAAAAGCAAATGTTTTCAGTCCAATTAACAGGCCATCTTCAAAATAGATAAAATTAAAATAAAATAACATAAATTTGAAGATCTATGTATGATTTAAATTTTTGTGTTCTATTCATGGAACATATTTGTTCCAATTTTTGTTTTCAACCTGAAGATGGCCTGTTAATTGGGCTGAAAATGTTTGTTTTTTCAATTGTATATATTTTTCGGCAACAAAAAGGGTGTTTTGTTTCTGTTTACTAAGATAAGACTAAATTTAGCTAAATCCAAAAGCATTTTCGGAGTTATTTTTATTTTATTTTATGTATTATAAAATACTTTTGCAATAATTGTTTTTTTAGATAAGTTACAGTTACTTTTTATAATGATTTACAATATTAACTATTTTCCAATCCATAATATTTTTTATTATTTGCTTTCTATTACCAAATTAAATCATGTATTTGAATTTTACTGTTTTAATGTAAATTTTTGATATATAAAAATGGTTTGTTACATTAATTATTTAAAAATCTTTTCACCTGTACATTAATATTAAATGTTTTAAGTGATTTTTCAAAAACTTAAAGTTATTAGAGATATAATAATGTATTCAAATCATTTTTTATTTAATATTATTTTTCTTGCTATAATTAATTTCGTATATTAAAGATATTACTTAAAATCTGTGATTTTGTAAAATTTATTATTACAACACTTTAAAAATATTTAAAAATACAAGATATAGTAAGAGGAAAACAGTTGAAATGAAATAATTAAATTCATTTTTTTTTATTTTAGCAATTAGAATTAAATAAATCAAACCTGTTGTCTGCTCAACATCCTGCTTGCAAAAGAGTTGCAAATGTTGCTAATCAGTTGCTGGACAAAAACCAAGAGGTTGAACTTATTCATAATAAAAAATGGACAATAGCTGTGATTGACAGTAATATTCAAAATGCATTTGTATTACCAGTAAGTAATGTGAAATAAATATTAAAATGATTCTTTGAATGATAACTTTGTTTTGCTGAATAAAACATTGAAAATCTGTTGCATACATACTGATATGATTCCTCATTTTGTGATATTTTTTTGACACATGGTGTAATAATATGTTAAAGTTAGTTAGAAATATTTATCAGGATTGTTTTGTTTTTAAATAATAATAATAATAATAATAATGATAATACTCTGAGTTTCTTTTTCTATAAAATGCAATATTATTTTGCTATAATGATTCTTTAAATTATGTCTTAAAAGAGGAAGATTAAATAATAATTATTTTAGGATTAATCTTTTTGAAATTGTGTAGTGTTAAGACATAATAATAATTAAATGATTTTCAAGAAAAACATGATACATTTTATTATTTTAAATATTGATTATTTCTTTTTTTATATCTTGCAGAATGGTCAGATATTTGTTTTCACTGGAATGTTAAATCTATGTGAGAATAATGATCAGTTAGGTGTGATCTTAGGTCATGAAATGGCTCATTGTATCTTGGGACATGCAGTAAGAAAATTTCATATTTTAAAAAATAAATTTTTTATTAAATTGTGCATTTTATCATTAACACACAGATACAAATGTATTGTGACAATAAATATCATTAAATTATATTTGCTGTCACAATTAATATATTTCAAATAATTCTGTTGAAAATCATCAGGTTATAACTGAGCTGATTAAATTATTTTAATGCCTCAAGAATTTGTGTTTGATATCATTTGTTAGTAATACAATAAAAGCTTCATGGTCACACATTTGATACTGACAGTTTTGTATTTAAAATCAGTTTACATATTCACAAAGCTAAAATTTGCTTATTCATGGAAAATTTGACAAAAGTAATGAAACAATGAAGAGACAATTAAATGATTTTCAATATTTCTATAATAAATGTGTTCTACTGAAAATTGTGTTAATTGCTAAACCATGCTGATGGATACTACTAACATGACATTACTTGAATACTTGATTACTACTTACTTGATTACATACATTACTTAACAAATGATTTAAATTTAGTTGTTTTTTTTTTATCCTTACAAATCAATAATATCAGCTAGACAAAAGGATTCTATTGACAAAATATCAAAAATAGTCAAAAAAGCAATGTCTTGCAGAGAGGAAATTCAGCAGCTGTTGCTGCTTGTGCTTTCATCTTGAATGAATCTATCACATAAGATAACATTAAGAAAAAAGTGACAGAGATTAGAAATACAGTAACAGAGTTTCTCTTTATGGAAATTACATGTTTTAGTTTTTAACTAACAAGTAAATATTTTTTTAATTCCATAACTATTTTTTCAATGTATTTCTCATTTTCATATTTGTGAAAATTTTGCAGAATGTAATTCTTGAAAATATGGAGCTTCTACTATATTAATAATTAGTAAATTTTATTTGATTTAATTTAGCTATGGATAAATAATGAAATTCAAAAGCTATTTTAGATTATTTTTCCAGACATTATTTAAATTAAATTAAATTATTTCAAATTTATACATTAACACAGAAAGCAACAAACCCACAATTAATCAAATTTTCAATTAATTAAAAATAATTAGCCCAATTATAACTTTCTGATTTAACAGAATTTTTATTATTCAACATTTGAAAATTATAAATGTTACGTAAATAGCTTACAAATTTTTTTTTACTATAAAACTATTCAGTAGACTCTTGTTAATTTGAACTCATATAATTTGAATTTTCTCTTAATTCAAATTGGATGGTAGTTTCTTTCTTATTCCTGTTTAAATCAATATAAAATTCTCTCAATAATTAGAACTTGATTATGTCATTTCCTGTTTGAATCAAGAGTGTGTTTTCAGTTTTGAAATTTAAAGATCAAATTTTAAATTAATAAATTGGTAAAGTTAAATTAATTAAAATTTAAAAACATTTCAAATCAGTTGGTGCATGATTAGGATGTTTTACAGTTGTCTTGTGGCACTTGCTCATCATTGCTTCTCATGGGCAATTAAGCCTTAGACTTGGAAACCAAAATGACCACCAAGAAGGCTGAGCAAAATCCAAGATTGCTGACAAATAAGGGTTAAATGAATTGTGCTGTCAATATACCTGAAGATGAAAGATTCAATCTTGACTGCATCTTGATGTTTTCTTTATTCCATTGAATGCACTATGTACTGTACCTTTTTTTTGTATTTTTCATTGATTAAACATTATTCTGCTTGTCATGTGATGTTAATATGTTGTCTTTTTTTGTTCTATAGCATCTAGAAATGGTCTCTTTTTAATTCAAACCGTGTATGACTATCCATCTTAATTTGAATTAATAAGAGTCTACTGTATACAGTTAACATAAAAATTTATTTTAATTTAATTTAAACAATTTTTAATATTCTTTTTAAACTTTAACCCTACATAACTAATCATTCGTCCACAGATGACGCATCTCTGCTAGAAAGTGAAATTCAGAAACTTTCCCATGCTTCCTGCTGGTCATTCTTTTTCTACCTTAATAATTTGAATAAACAGTGTTGTTTGTGATGTAATTGTGTTCACACGTCAATTAGGAGTCGACTTATGGCCATCCCATAGTCCGCTGGAAGAAAGTTTAGTTACTATGTAACTTTGTTGCAAAGTCATGTACATTTCATACATTGTTATGGCTGCAGATGTAAACAGTTAGTTTGTGATAAATGCCATTCCCTATATGGGAAAAGGTACTGATCCTCAGAAACAAATATTGCCTACATTTTTCATAAAGGAAATAACATCTATTTTACATGGAACAAACTGTAACATTACTATGGATAACAGGTTCACATCTGTATCTTTGGCAGATGAACTATTGAAGTCACCTTATAATTTGACCTTAGTTGGCACTCTTAGAAGTAACGAAAGAGAAATTTTTGAAAAATTAAAAAATTCTAAATCACGTACTATTGGTACTTTAATATTTTGTTACGACGGCAATAAGACATTAGTTTCGTACAAAGCCAAGTCAAATAAAGTTGTTTATGTTTTGTCGACTATTCATGATCAACTTAACATAGATAAAAATACAGGAAAACCACAAATAATACATTTTTATAATAGTACAAAGGGTGCAGTAGACACAGATCAAATGTGTTGAAATATGAGACAAAACCAAAAGGTGGCTACTATGTGTGTTTTATAATATGCTAAACCTCTGGGCAATAAACAGCTATGCTATCTAGGTCTGTAATAATGTCAGAAACAAAAAACACCAATGTCCTGGTGGGATTTATTAAGATGGGAGACAAACTCATGGAGCCCTGGCTACAGAAGCGGTTACAGACAGTGCTTTTGAGGCATGATATCAGAACCATAATACAGGATATTCTAGGTGATGTGCCCAGTGTATAAGCTCCTACTCATTCTGCATTGAATCTGCGTAAAATATGCTGTTTGTCTATCGAAAGCTCGACAAATGACAAAACACTGTTGCATGAAATGCAAAAATGTGTTTTGCGGCCCCCATAATGTTAACATATATAGCAACTGCGTGTAATCTTATTTCCTAAATATTTTGACCTTATTTAGTTCCTATTTATCCATACTATTGTGCCATGTAACAACTTATTTTTATTAAACAATTTTGTTGATATTAACATTTTTTAATGCGTAGTCCACTCGACGAATGTGTAGTTATAATGTAACTGTAATTTAAGTTTAGTTATCTAGGGTTAAAATTAAATTTATTAAATATTATTATAATCGGGACTACATTGTTTAACTTTGATGTATATGTTTTTTTTTCACAGAAAGTTTACTTTTAGAATGCATAATATAGTTTTCAATATTATATATCTGTTTGTTATTTTGTTGTTTATTATTACATTTAAATTATCATTCTATATGTATTTAGGCAGAAGCTTTAAGTTTTACTCATTTTGTCGACATTGCTTTGATTACTGTTTTAGCAGCAATTTGGATGATTATACCTAGCGATGGCATAGCACTTATAACACAATGGTTTTTTAATAAAGTTGTTGATGTAAGTTATACTTTTCTAAAATTAAGAAGAAATATAAATGAACATATTTAATTTTTTTTTTAATTTTATAGATTATAATTCATCTCCCATACAATAGAAAGCTTGAAATAGAAGCAGATGAAGTTGGTTTGATATTGGCTGCAAAGGTGTGTAAATTTATTAATATTTATTAGTTTTATGCTGATATTTCTGTTTATATTTCAGAGAAAGCATAAATGTAATGTCATGTTGTTATTATTAGATATTAATTGTAGATGTTTAAAAATAAATTAGTTTAATGACTTCTAAGTGAAGTGAAACATTATAATGATTTTGAATAAACAAACACATACAAAAGAACAAAATTATATTTGTAATAAAATGATATGATTTGAATAAATGTCTTAATTTGTGGTTTATTGAACATACGTATGAAACCAAAAATAAATAAATAAATTATTTTACTCATTTTTAGGCTTGTTTTGATGTTCGAGAAAGTAGTGCTTTTTGGAGTAAAATGTCTATTTTAAATGAATCTGATGACGGTCCAGATATTGAATGGTTATCAACACATCCGAGCAATGAGAAACGTTCTAATTATCTCGACAAAATGATGGATGGGGTATAAACAATTATTATTATTAAATATTAAAATCTGTTTTTAAATTTAAAATATAATTTAAGACATCAGCAGCAGATTTACAATTTTAATCTAGTTTGACAGTTTACAGCAATATAATACATTTAAAAGAATAGTAGAACATTTTTTTTATACACTGTAGGTACAGTACCTTACATTGACATTTATCTTACTATTAAATAAGAAATATTATTATTATTATAGGTAACCATGCAGTGGTGATATTCGAAATATTTAACAAAGGGTTCGCTAACAGAAAATTTTTTCTTAAAAATTTTTTTTTCGCTCAAATGGTGCATTAGCAACATTAGTGCAAAAAACTGACCTTAAGATACCCATATAAATAAAGATGATGCGTTCGCAAAATTAAGTCAGTTAAAATTTAACATTGTTTATGCCAGAACTATATTTTTTTATAAATAATAAAAAAGAGTGTTCAAAATGGTTTATTTTGTACATATTTTAACATTTTTCATTCAAAATATTTTATAAACATAAAAATTGTTTTTTTTAATCAGAAAAAGTCATAGGGAAAGCAGTTAAACAAGAAAAACTTTTCCTAAATCATTTATTTTATCGTTAGGTATTATTATAATAATAGACAGATGTCATTGTCTCTCGAAATACAATACAGTGTATCTTTCTTATTTCGCTGTCGATAGCTCGACACGTGTTCCGCATCCATCTTGTATTTTCTTGCGCGCGTGGGATTGTGGGATCTCTCTTATGACTGGATCTAGTTTTGAGAACTCTCTCGAGTCGATTGCGATTGAACCTCGTTTCAGTCGAGATTGAAACGGTCAATGGAGGATGACCTTATACCCTGTTTCGCACCAGGCGGACAGGGTATAAGGCTCTAGTTTAGTAGTGTTACAGAGTATAATAGGTATATTTTAATATATTTTTTAAAAGAAACAAAACCACTGAGAAATGTTACGTGTGTTTAACAACAGGTTCGGAAAACTTTGGAAATGTTAACAACGGGTTCGGCCGAACCCGTGCGAACCCACTGAATATCACCACTGTAACCATGTATTCATGTTTTGCACTGGTTTTCATAAATTAAAGAACAAAATGTACATTTTCTATATATTTTTTTTAATTAAAAAATCAATTTTTTAAAAAAACTTCTTAAAAGATTAAAAAACTTCAACAGAAGACAATTGTCATTTTTTTATCTATAACCACATTTTATCAGAGACAATTCTACTAAGGATTACAACTGTTAGCTTTTATTACAATACAATGCATTTCGGGTGCAAAATTTGTCACACATGCACCCTTCTTCAGGTAATACATAACTACAATGGGGACATTTGCTTTCCCTATTGTAGTTATGTATTACCTGAAGAACATGTGTAACAAATTTTGCACCTGAAATGCATTGTATTGTAATAAAAGCTAACAGTTGTAGTCCTCAGTAGAATTGTCTCTGATAAAATGTGGTTATAGATAAAAAATGACAATTGTCTTCTGTTGAAGTTTTTTTAATCTTTTAAGAAGTTTTTTAAAGGATTGATTTTTTTTAATTAAAAAAAATTTAATAAAAAATACTTTTTTTTAATCAAAATTATATATAAAAGAACCACACCACAAATACATACATATATCTGTTACTTATACAAGTACATTTTGTTTTTTAATTGTTTACAATAAAATTTTCAATAAAATACAGAATGAATTTGAATGTTAATTATCTAATGATTTCCGTTATAAAAGTATTAATATAGAGCAGATTTGGACATGCAGATCTATTACTTTTGGAAGGTTTTAATTAACGAAAAGTTTCATGTTTTACATTGCTTACAAAATAAAATGCAGAATTTATTCATAAATTCTTGACATACAATCTTATATATGGTTGAGTCTAAATAAACCAAACTTTTAATACAACTTTTATTTCATTAATAGTACAAATATTTGTACTACCAGACACCTTCAAAATAAATGCTGCAGCTATACACACACTTCTATTCAATGTCCATGCCACTTTTTAAATAAAACACTCTTGCATCTCATTCTGCATTACTTTCTTTAGTGTAATTATCATAGTACTTTTTACTTCCTACTGATTTGAATTTGTAATAACGCAATCAAGCTTTCATTTTGCTAGATACGTGAAAGTCTACAGTAGTTGTAATAAGCTGTAGACTTAAGGCTGTGGAAATTTGGATATCTTATTTTTCCAGATAATCATTAGCAGAGTGCAATGTGCAGTATGATGCAGGAAGGACTCCGTATTAATAGATTTATTGTCAGAGCAGACTTGTAAGGAATACCAAGACCCTGTTTCATAAAACACTTGTAGTTGGAAATATGGAATAAGACCATTGTTTATTTTTTAAATAAAACATTAACATATTTTAATTAATCAACTTAAAATTTTATGGAATCTTTTTGTAACAAAGTCAATGGGAACGACAAGCTTGTTTCTTCATCAGTTCTTTAAATTTGGGTACAAGTTTAAAAACTGCAATTTGCATCTTTTTTTGTGACTTTAAAGGCCCATATTTGGTTTTGATGGCTATTGTGAGATCAGCCAGGACGTAAAGTAGGTTACGCCACTTACTAGCACTAGTCGGTAAGACCAGTTCTCTTACTTTTTATAGGAGGGCTGTTATAAACGATCCTAATCGCGAGATTCGGATCTACGTCAGGATTCCTTGACACCAGTTAATCAATCTTATTATACGCAGATTAACACGCGTATGCGATCTGATTCGGTCACGCAACCAAGAGACATCCCAATTAAAACGAAATAATAAATTTAATAAAACAAGAAAATAAATCATACAAAAATCTCAATGAATGAGAGATAGAACTACTACAACTAATATACAAATCAGGAGATAATTAAACTTATATTATACCCTATTCGCGATCGAGAGAGAGAGCTCACAAAATGTTATAAAACATACGACCTGTTTAGTTGTCATTCGTCTTCTTCTCTGTAGGTAAGGGACACTTTGTAGATAAAGTTCATTTACTTCTTCGTATGAGAGATCACTATGTGCACAAATATAAAAGTATCACTTCTATGTGCAGACTCTAGACTTATTCTGTATGTGACTCTTCTAAGGACGTTGGTCATCAGGTGGGAAACGTATGTGGAGTTTGGATGCTTTCGGATCTGTCGCTGAACTCCCCGAATTTTGACAAGTTCCCTGTATATCTTCGGAATACCGACCAATCATCGGCCAGTAACTCTTTCGTGAGAACGGATGAAAGGGGAATGAATGAGGGGTAACCATTTCCCATCTGAGCTGGATTTTAACCAGATAAGGGAAAGTCAGAGGATGTTCTCTTCTGTGAAAGGAAGTAACATCTGTTATCTGGTTTTTTTCCAACCTAAAACAGTATTTTTCTCACCAAAAATGAAGTAATATTTGGTGACATTATTTTAACATTATTAATAAAATTATTAGCTTAGACCCAGGGGCCTTTTGGGTCTCACACTATCAATCATAAAGATCCTGTCTCTCATAAATAGGATATCACAAAAAGGAATTAAAACTCATAGGATCTTGCTACCTAGTTCAGGACGGTCCTGATTCATCAAGCTCCAAAACTCAGGTAATAATGAGGAAACAAACTTTTCAGTTTCAAAACTGATGAAATACCAAAAGTTCTTCTTGTTCTCCAATGGTGAGAGTTGTTGACAGTTCTGTTCTGAAGAGATCTTCAATCTAGTTGTATGGATTGCCCTCTTCTGCAAAATACCTGTCAAAATGGATACTGAGTTGTGTTAAATGTTCTACAATACAGACATGGTTCTTCACTGAACTCCATGTCATTGTTTGCAGAACAGGAAAGCTGAAATTTTATCTGATTGTGCAGAATGTGGATTTCAGTACCTTTAATGAATCAGGTTTTTCAAAGATATAAACTTATACCAGCTTCAAGACAAAGAATCCATCCATAAACTTCTCAGAATTGGAATGGTTTTTCTCTAGCCCTTGTAGCTAAGAGCAAATGACTGAGTCCAAAGAATTACTTGGCATTGATAAAATTAAAAGTTTATTATTTATAGTTAAAACTGATAGTTTCTGAAGAAACAGTTGTACACACTTATGAACTAGGAAAATACAAAGATACTTGAGACCACTCGTAACAATATTACAAATTGATTCCTACATTCCAACAAAACAAAGGACTTCTAATTTATGTCTAGCTTAACTATAACTTAACTAAATTTACAAAATAAAGGGCCCTAGATCAAAATGAGGTTGGTAAGAATTAGAAGATTTGATTTTTGGTAGAAAAAGAAAAGGGTCAAAAGGGGGTGACAAAAAAAATATACCTCAATTCTGTTATTCCAGAAGAGTTCTTTCCATACCCTCTTTCCAGCAAAAATTTTTGCTGAAAAGAGGGTGTTTGGAGTTGCTTATTGTTAAAGTACACTGATATACTCTTGAGAAGATGGAATAAAGTGTTCCATCTTCTCAGGAGTATATCAGTGAATTAGAAAGAAAAAAAATTGCAACTTGTGAAGTTGGATGGTTCATTATTTAAAGAAATTAAAAATAGAGAACTTATTTGAAATTATTGAAATAATAAAATTATATAATTCTCAATATTTAATTGAATATTTGTTTTGAAGTATCAATCAATGTTAGATTTTATATATAAGGATGGAAAAATAAATATTTACATAAGGAAACTTTCTATCGTAATTTGTATATATTATATATAAACAAGCAATGTAACAGTATATATATTATGAAAAATTTATATGAAGTTAATATTGACACTTCTAATTAATTTCTATGAAAAGTGTTAGCATTTCATTTATATTAAATACTTCAAATATTTATTTGAAGTATTTAATATAAATGAAATGCTAACACTTTTAACGTATTAAATTTATTAATTCTTTTCAGGCTATAGAGATAAGAAAAACATCCGGTTGTCCACTTCTAACTAGAAAAGATCCTCGTCTAAACATTTCGACATTTAAGAAGTTGATCGAAGATGCAAAGAAAATCGAAGAGAAATACACTACTACAATAGTAATACCCAACAAAAGGAGTTAACAAAATTTGAGTAGTTTTAGAAGCGATGTGATTCTTGTCATTGTTGATGACTTAGAAATTATTTTTTTAAATCAGTTATCCAGTCTGTCAATATTGCAAAGCATGAAATCTATAGTTTACAAAAATATTTATTTTTATTCTTGTTACCAAGATATATATTTTAAGAAATTGAAAATTTTGAATAAAGGTATAAATTATTTTAGAAATTTGGAAAATTGACTATGTTTTACATAATCTTGTTTTACATAATTATTTTTCCTGGGGGAAAGCAAACAATATAATGCTCGTTATTTATTGTAATATTTTGGAACTGGTATTAATTTATGTCCATTTTTATATTTTCTAAACTTTGAAGTTACTTTTGGCTCAAAGACAAAATTTCAACACAATACATCTGCTGACTTCTAATTTTTCTTTGTCAAAATTTCAAACACTAAGAATAAAATATCATTAAATTTCTCAGCAGGGAAACATTAAAATTTTTTTTTTTATTTAACAAAAATTATGGACCCAAGATGAAAATATTTAATTACAGACGAAAAAATTGAAGTGAATTTTAAAAATGCAGTCACTCAAAATCTTTTTTATTGTGCTTTCAATGATTTTAGAAGCTCAAATTTATGCATAATGGTAAAAAAATTTACATTCACTAATTACCATAGTGTAAACTATTGAAAAATATGTTATATATTAAAGGATAGAACAAAATTCTTTATAATTTGAAATTTACATATTAATTCGTTCCTTACAGTAATTAATTTATATTATTTTGTATCTAAAATTTGCACTTATTAAAAAATGACCATAAGTTGAAACTAATTGTTTTATTATTATTATGTAATGTAAAATTCAGTCATGTCTTTTCTATATATATATGTACTGTACAGTACAGTATTTCACACTTGATCTGATTTACGAGAATAATTAGTTTATATTCAATTATTTTATGCAAAAGACATGCAAACTATTTTATTGCAAGAAAAATGATTTATTTTAAACTGCAAAATTTATAAAATTTTATTAGTTTTTAATAAAGTTCTGTTGTTATTTTAATTTACATATATATGTGCATATGATATTAAATCGTACCAGCCGGCTGCTGTTGTCAGAATTAATGTGGCCCTCCTCTAAAAGTTTGGGAACCCCTGCTCTAAACGACCGACAAATGTAATGCAAGTATATAACAACACAAGAAAAGGGAGGATAAAAAAATACAGAGTTTGATCCTTACAGAAACTATATTCTAAAATAGGAAAGTTAGCGTGTAATCAGAAGAAAAAGTTTTAAAATTTTAGGTAACAGTTTATTTAGTTGTTAGTGACTGTCTCTATGTTGCTCCCATCAAACTCAATAGTCCAGCTCTTGCATTTTCTCAGAACGATTGCAACAGGCGTACGGACAACGGATAAAGTGAATACAAAATTTCAAATCGCTTTTCCGAGAATTTTGAATTTAGAGATGGAAATAGCTCGAAACGTCAGTTTCGAGCGTACAATTTTTATTTTCTTAATGCGAAAAAAATATCCACAAATTTCAATACTTCGTGCTTCGTTCATTTCCGAGAAACAGTCAATTTGTTGCCCGTCCTGAAGACAAAAAATAAAAAATAATTCCCTCCCTTTCTCCTTAATCGGTCATACGATTTGTTAATTTTAAGTATATACACGTGTCTAAATCGTCTCTAACGTAAAAATAATGAATTAGCAGAATAAAAAAAAAAAAAATTTGTTAGGTATGGTTTTTGTGATATCGGCAACTGCATAATTGTATGCAACAAACTTAAAATCGTTTCTAATTATGCAAAATTTCGTTTCGCCTATTAACAAAATATTAAGCAAAAAAAAATCTTATTTAAAGTTTACCTTATTTAAAATTTAGGACACATTTCTTTAATAATAATAATTTACCGCTTATTTAATTTTATTATCTTAAGAATTATTATTTAAATTTATTCCGAAGCTTAAATAAACTTAAATAGAATTTTACATTGAAGAAAATATTTCGCAAAACGGAAAAACCTAACACGTGTTTGGACGAGACCAAAAAAAAATTATGAGCGCTCGACAAAGAATAAATGAAACTGGATTTACTACTTTGCATACGAATTTTTGAGTTTCTCAATCTCTATATTTGCATAATCTTCGCAGTTTAATTCGATAAAACGGCGTCCGTACATTTAGGTCGAAGATTTTATGCAAACTCCTTTTTTTTTTATTATTTTAACGAGTCAATCAAACATTTCGTGCCACAAATTTTAGAGGTCAAAACAGTTATTTATGCGTTGCCGTTTATTTTTATCTTTCCTCGTTTTAAAAACCCCTCTTTAATTCCCACAAATGTAATTATAATTACGTCAATCGCTAGAATTTACCCGCATAAAACGAACTTGATGCTTTTTTTATACGAATTCGTATACGGCAAAAACGGAAATTTAACGTCGTAATTAAAGTAATTACGCGACTATATTTTTTGTGAAAGTCGTTTTCCAGTTCGTCTCGTTAGGCGATTTCTCGAGTTTTATTTATGTAAAATTCGAAAGCAATTGAGTCTCCTTACGCAAAAATAATAATCTGCACGAAGATAAGGGGGAATCTTCGTTAAAACTCTCGCTTAATCCCCAGCTCTTAGCAACGCGACAGTAAACAAAAAAGAAAGAAACGACGTTAAAACGGTTTGAGAAACTATCGACCTTCACTTTTGTAACCCGCGACGTCGAATCTTTTATTAATTAATGCGTGGAAACGTAAAGACGCCGCGTGACCGCTTGCATCCAAGTTTTGCAACAAAAGCGACGTAGGCCCGAGGACGAAGCGTTCGTTCGCGTGGTCAACGAAAGCGACTACTCCAGCGCCGCCTAGCGCGTGACGTCAAACTCTTCCAAGGTCATCATCCGGGTAAGTCGGGCTTCACGGTAGGCGGGTTGGATGTCCACACAGGTGATAAGTCGACTCGACGTCGGTGCGGTCGGAGGGCGACGTTTTCTTTCTGGATTTTTTTTTCCGTATTTAAATTTTTACCTTTAGGCCTTTACAGGTTAGTTAACGTTTTAATTAGACTATTCGGACGCCGGCTCTGTTCTTTAATTAATAATTCGACGGTGACGTTTTCTCGTGTACTAAACTTACTGGCGTAAACAAATCGTTGCGCGTAACGGCGTTAATTAAATCGTCCGGATTAATTTCGGCAGCGATGCTTTCGCGAGTTAGAAAAGCGATTTCTGCGCTCGCTTCTGACCTAGATGTCATCGGCTCTTGCCAGGAAGGTGTGTAAATAATCCGTTCGAAGACCTCGCTGTCCATTATTTCGGGAGTGTGAGAAAACGACGCGCTTAAGTTTACCTGCGGCTTACGCAAAATTTAGTGGAAAAGTCCGCACTTCGCGCTATTAATGTTAAATTAAAGGACTCGTTGGTAATCCTTTCTTTACTGTAGAATAGATTAACGAAACCATCGAAAATTACGGCCAGAACTTTTTACGTAACAAATGTTTGGTATAGCCAGACTAACGCCAACGAACTCTGTGTTTCGGTTTCGTATTCTGCTTTCGGGTGAGTACAAAGTACGTAACGGAACATATTCGAACAAAGCGTCGTTACCGTTACTTTAGCTAGGATCTTTTAAAAAGCGTCAAGCTATCCAGGCGACTCATTGTCGGAAAAGGGAAATGTTTCCGGGAAACGTACCCGGATCGACCAAAAAACACACACTAGAAAAAAAGTTTAGGTATGACGTAACCGTACGAAGAAGTTAGAGTACAATGACCCTTCCGTCTCTTTCGGATGTAGACCGAGATGACGTCATGTCCGACGAAGCGGTCGTCCGATCGGTTTTTTTAAACCCTCCCGTATTGTTTTCGGAATTAGGTCAGAAAACGCTCGAGATTAACAAAGAAACCAAACAATGAGTTGTCCGGTTGTGATACTGCTCCGTAAATAATACGTTTCGCTTACCGAAGGTCAGTCCAACGTCTACGATTTATTTTAATTCGGAAATTCTTTTTTTCGTATCTGCCGAAAAAAAGAATATTCGGGATATTTAGCCTACCCGAATACACTGGCGTTAGGCGATTTTTGGGCGGGTGGAAAACAATGGCGCGGCATCCGAGCATTTCTTACATTTTATAATAGGGTTGGAAGTGGATGAATTCTTTCCACAGTCCCGAGTTTTTCCTTATTAGATCTCGCTCGGGCATTGTTCACATCGTAAACTCGGTCAGGCGTTAGAAATGAGAGTTAAGTCTTCCACCGTATAGAATATGTACAATAAGTATTCGTTCGAGCGACTTTTTTGAAAATGGCTTTTCGATAAGGAAACTTTCCTTTCTGTTTCTTCCGTCGTTTGTTGCTTTATGAATAGATTTAAAATTTACGAAACGGCTCGTTTAAAACAGTTTCGTCATCCAAGCGGAGGTATAGGATTAGTATCTGCCATTACATAAATATCTCTCTGCAAAAACTCGCTGCCAGGAAATTTTGTAACGATTTGCCTTATATTTTGTTCTATAATAAGCTTGTATTTCCTAAAACTCCAAATAAGGAGATAATCCGTTGGAGAAAAAATAAATAAATGCGGGAGACGTCGAGCAATTCTGGCGTCTTTATTTCTCAATAAAATATGGAAGAAATTGTTTTCGATTTCTTAGAAAAGTAAACCCACAAACAGGAACTTTTGACGTTGTTCCTGGTCGAATTCTCAGATCGGTCAAGTTCTTTTGGTAACAAACAAACAACTGTTTCCTTCGATTGTAAGTCGGTAATCGGAATCCGTACGATAACAAAGTACCAATTTGTTACTTCCCGATATTCCCCGCCAGATAACTTATCAATTAGCTTTAATTTTAAATAAATTCTGCGTCACAGATTTCTAGATAGAAAATTTATTCCGGAATTCTTAAATTCGTAGAATGAAAATGATTGGTTAAATCTTAAACGTCTTCTCGTCTACAACCGACGCATACATACGTAACAATTCAACCCGACATTATATAAATTAACTTTTTTTTTGTACACTTTGACCCGCTTAGGGCCTTGAACTATAAACCACTCCCAAACAAGAAATTCAAAATAACTGTAGGGTAATAGAGACTCGAGTAATTTTCATTCGTTCTCTATTTGATTCCTCGTCACGTTTGTATATTTATCGAGGTTCTAAAAATAACAAATGGATTATTAACCCTGGTTGGAGTAAAAATGGCGGCTTATTAACGCCTCCGTTAATTCGTTATTGGTGGGAAAGCCAATTTAACCTACAGAAAAAAACTTTTCTACTACCGAATCGGGCAATTCGCGCGGGTTAGCGACCCGTTCTTTAGCATTTATATAGACGAGTTTGGTTTTATTTATAGACAAACGACCGATGGGGGAAAATTTATTAAGTGCAAAATACCTACCACAATCGATTCGTGACGTCACTATCGATAATCCAATTCGACTTTAAATGCTTTTTTCCTGTCCGATCCCGGCTTGGAGGATGATGGCAATCTAATACGTTCGAAACAAGCAAACTCCCTTCTGTCTTATTAATGTCAAGAACTTCTTCCTTAAAACCTAATTTCTCTCTCTCCGAGATTTCATCTTAACTACGCAATTAATTGTAAAATGCGTTTGATGTCACACTTAATTAATATGACGTAATCGAGTTTTTGATACGTTTAGTTAGTTTCGTAAACTATTATTATAGTTAATATAATTTTAAACAATCGAATT